CCCCTCATCCACTGCTCCTCCATCCCCTCCCCCCCCTCCACTGCTCCTCCATCCCCTCCTCCCCTCCACTGCTCCTCCATCCCCCTCCTCCCCTCCACTGCTCCTCCATCCCCTCCTCCCCCCCACTGCTCCTCCATCCCCCTCCTCCCCTCCACTGCTCCTCCATCCCCCTCCTCCCCTCCACTGCTCCTCCATCCCCCTCCTCCCCTCCACTGCTCCTCCATCCCCCTCCACTCCCCCTCCCCCCTCCACTGCTCCTCCATCCCCCCTCCTCCCCCTCCACTGCTCCTCCATCCCCCTCCTCCCCTCCACTGCTCCTCCATCCCCCTCCTCCCCTCCACTGCTCCTCCATCCCCCTCCTCCCCTCCACTGCTCCTCCATCCCCCTCCTCCCCTCCACTGCTCCTCCATCCCTCTCCTGCCCTCCTCTCCTCCTCCATCCCCCCTCACTCCTCCTCCACTGCTCCATCCCCCTCCTCCATCCCCCCTCCTCCCCTCCATGTCCCCCTCCCCTCCTCCATCCTCCATCCTCCCTCCTCCCCTCCCCTCCTCCATCCCCCTCCTCCCCTCCCCTCCTCCATGTCCCCCTCCCCTCCCTCCTCTCCCCTCCCCTCCCCAGCCCAGCTTCACTGCACCATCTTTGACTAAACTGCAATTCACATTTATAATAATCCCTCCAAAAAAACAAAACAATAATAAATTGGTCATTTTCAATCTACGACTGTCTGTGGGACATTGCTGTGCGCAATTGGCTGCCGCGTTCGCCCACAAATATACAGTCAATTCACTTTACAGTGTGTTCTGTGAAACGCTTTGGGACGTCCTCCCGACGTGAAAAGCGCTATATCAAACGCAAGGATTATTATTATTAGTATTATTATATAACAGTGTAATGTACTTTTCGGTCACCTCCACCCCCCCCTCTCTCCCCCCCACCCCCTCTTTCCCCCCCACCCCCTCTCTCCCCTCTCCCCCCCCCCACACACGACAGTGGGTGAAGTGCTTTGGGACCTTGTGAAAGCTTCTGTATAAAGGTTAATTGTACTGTATCTCACTCAGACATATAAGTTGTTGTGCGTTATATAAATATAAGTTGTTGCTGTTGTCCTAAACCCTCTGTGTTTTTATATCGTTTTTTTTCAAAAGAAATTTTTTTTTTTAGAAAACTTCCTTGGGGGGGAGTTGGTTACATTCTTTTTTTAAAAATAAATAGCACTATCTGCAAAGCCGGAATCCTTGCCCCCCTTTTCCCTTCCTTACCCCCTCCCCACACCCCATATTTGTTTGTCAAGCATCAAGACAATTTTTTTTAAAAACCTGTGGGGGAGAAAAAAACAGCGAAGTAGAAATCAAGTACAATTATAAGAACATAAGGAATAGGAGCAGGAGGAGGCCATTCGGCCCCTCGAGCCTGCCCTGCCGTTAAATAAGATCATGGCTGATCTTCTAACCTAATCCCATTTACCCCCCTATCCCCATATCCTTTAATCCCTTTAGTTTTTAGAAATCTATCGATCTCAGTCTTGGATATGTTCAATGACTGACTGAGCATCCACAGCCTCCGGGGTAGGCAATTCCATCAATTCACTACCCTCTGAGTGAAGAAATGTTTTCTCAACTCAGTTCGAAAAGGCTGACCCTTAATCCTGAGACTATGACCCCCTAGTTTCAGATTCTCCAGCAGGGAAAACAGTCTCACAGCATATCCCCTGTCAAGACCCTTAAAAATCTTACAGGTTTCTATAAGATCACCTCGAATTCTTCTATATTCCAGAGAATATAGACCTAGTCTACTTAACCTATCCTCATAGGTTAACCCCCTCATCCCAGCAACCAACCTAATGAATCTACGCTGCACCCCCTCTAAGGCGAGTATGTCCTTTCTTAAATAAGGAGACCAAAACTGCACACAGTATTCTAGTTGCGGTCTCACCAAGTCCTTATACAATTGCAGTAAAACTTCCCTACTTTTATATTCTAACCCCTTTGCAATAAATGCTAACATGCTATTAGCCTTATGATTGAGTGATGTTATACAGAGTGAACTATAGCCCTGCAATAAACTACCTCCGTCTGTTTCTATAAATAATAATTATCACAATAAGCCTTGCCTACGATACAGCATCTTATCATGTCATCCAAATGTCTCAATGCACTTTTCAGGATTCAAGGTAAATTACTCTGAGACGCTGTTCTTTGTCTGTGAACTTCTGTTGCAGAGAAATGGACTGATGGCTCAAAGGGGAAGCAAAGTGATTAAGTGTGTGTGTTTGTGTGTGTATATATATGATGATGGGGTGAGGAACGTATATGTGTGTGATTGCGGGGTGTGGGGATGTGTGTGTGATGGATGGGAGTGGCGGGGGGGTGGGCTGTAGACTGGGTACAACCCTTGCTCTCTCTCTCTCTCTCTCTTCCAGGTTCGCTTTGTAAACAGCACCTGGATGTTTGGTAAGATGATGTGTCATGTGAGCCGTTTTGCCCAGTACTGCTCTGTGCACGTGTCGGTGCTGACCCTCACTGCCATCGCTGTGGACAGACACCAGGTACAACACACAACATTCCCCACTGGAGGCTGTATAGTGTGGGAGAGAGGGAACGATGAGGGAGGTGAGGAGTCCTGTTAGAGTGTAGGTGGAAGGGAAGAGTGAGGGATAAAGGAGTCCTACCCTGGTTGACAATTTCCCAGACATTGAACGTGACAGTGATTACAGTGAAGCACTATGAGACATTATTTGGTGACAAATCTCCATAAAAATAACAAGTTCTTTTGATCGCATGTTGTGGTCCGAATTGATGGACTCTCTCTTCGAACGTAAGTTAGTGGAGAGAAAGCGAGAGAAATGGAGGTGGAGGAGGGAGAGGGCAATGAAAGGGTTAAGTATGAGTAAGCTGCAGGAATAATATGAGAGAATTATTTCCTTGGTGTTTTTCTGTACGAGTTTTTGTCTTTCCAATATTGCGATGCTATAAACAAGCTCATTATAAAATGCTGGCACAGTCCCTGGCCATCATCCTCTGAAGCCTTGGAGCTCAGCGTTGTGTTCGGAAGAGAGTTACATAACCAGCCGTGTGTGTGGTGTGGCTGTCAGTCGCACTGATCTTCAGGGTGATTCATGAAGTGGCCTTTACCTCAGAGTTGCTCTCGATCGTGTATGTGTTACTTTACTGATGGGAGGAAAGATTCAGCTGATTGCTGCGCCAATTAATGTTTCAGTGCGTACACCTGACAGAGAGTTTGACCAAAGTGCTAAACTGGGGCTCACGGTCAATCCACTTTACAGTGTAGCCTGTGAAGAGCTTTGAGACGTCTCAACAACATGATAAGGCTCTGTATCAAATGCGAGGATTATTATTATCTTACAACACGGAAGGAAGCCATTCAGCCCATCACCCCAGTGACGGCTCCCTCAGAGAGCTTGTGATCTGGTGACTTTCACATCAGACGTTCCACATCGGAATAACTCTCTGAGCAAAATAAATCATCTTACTTTCCCCTTTGCGATTTGATGATGATCTTAAACTGCTGTCTGTCAACAGCTGGTGTTTTATGGCTCATCATGGGATCAGTGCAATAGGTTTTCAAGGTTCTGTGCATGAGGACTCCAGTGGAGAGAGTCACTGTCTCTCTCTCTTGCCCAGGTCATCATGCATCCTTTGAAGCCGAGGATGTCCCTGGGGAAAGGGATCATCTGCATTGCCATCATCTGGATCATGGCGACCTGCTTCTCTCTCCCGCACGCCATTTACCAGAAGCTTTTCCGTGTTGAATACAGGTAAACCGAGAGCCCCAACACCAAATCTGCCAACCAAGCTCAATGCCAACCAATGCTTGGCAGCCAGCTTCCTACATAAACACATTCTGTATTAAATCCAACCTTATTGGCCATCGGTTTCCACGTCATCATTCCTCTTGTGACTGAGGCACGAGCTTGGGTCCTGACTGATGGTCACTCTGAGGTGAATGTGAAAGGGTTGATGTAAAAGGACATCTCCTCCTCTCTCCAGCCCTTTCCCTCCAACACAGCGTTGAAGTTTCGTTCCAGTATATTCCTCCCCCCTCGCAATGGCCGCAGATACGAGCAGTGTGAGGAGCGCTGAATTCTCGGGGTCCAATCATTGTCCTGAGGTGAGGGAAGGCAGGTGTGGGGAACATTTGCCTCCTCCAGCCAGGCCTTAAGTAGGGAGAAAAATACCATATTTCTAAACGGATTGGATTGCACATTAATTTAGTTAGTCGATTGGCGGATTGTTTTCCGGTGGTGTGTGGGACTTTGCTGTGTGCAATTGGCTGCCGCGTTTCGGCCCACAAAATACACAGTCACTGCACCTTACAGTATATTCTGTGAAGTGCTTTGAGAGGTCTCAACGACGTGATAAGTCGCTGTAACAAATGCGAGTCTTATTATTAAGATATTCGGTGGGATCGTGCTCTAAAAACGTTGCATTTCTTGCTCTGCTCCAGCAAAGACAAGGTGCGGAGTTTCTGCCTCTACAACTTCCCCAGGCCAGCCGAGCTGTACTGGAAGTATCTGGACTTGACCACCTTGGTCCTCCTGTACGTGCTGCCGCTCGCAGTCATCAGCCTGGCCTACGCCATGATGGCAAAGAAGCTTTGGATGCGCAACGCCATCGGGGACGTCACGGTGGAGCAATTTTTCGCCCACAGACGCAAGAAGAAGATGACCCTGAAGATGCTGGTGCTCGTGGTCCTGGTGTTTGCCGTCTGCTGGTTCCCATTAAACTGCTACGTGGTCCTGATCTCCAGCAGGGCCATCCCCCCCAACAACGCCCTGTACTTCACCTTCCACTGGCTGGCCATGAGCAGCACCTGCTACAACCCCTTCATCTACTGCTGGCTCAACCACAGCTTCCGCACCGAGCTCAAGTCGGTCCTGAGCATGTGCAGGAGGCGAGAGCCATCCCACCCCCACGCCAGTCCCCGCATCCCCCCTCCCTGCCGGCAGGCCTGGGTCAGGGGCAAACACCACAAGCGGGCCAGAGCGTCTCAGAGCCTGAGGTTCAACAGCACCGCTCACTCCCCCAGGACTGATCTGTCCATCGTAGCACCCATTGTGACTGGGAGCTAAGGAAAGACATTGCCTTGACGTGGCTCAGTGTTGTCAGGAACGCCCTGGGGCTTTACGAACAATCACAGAATAGATCTGTCGCGTTAACTTACATTTTTTTTTAAACATTTATTTCTGAAGGGAGTCGTTAGCGGAAATGAACTTCACTCCCTGTAAACCAACGTAATACTTTGGTTTGGTTTAGCTTAGCTGAAGTGTTAGACAGCAATCCCTGGTTGGGGTGGGTTTTATACACACACACACACATATATATATATATATATAAGAAACAGACTCCTTTGATAGCCTGACTGGCGGGGGATTGCACAGGGAAACAGACCCAGGGCTCCGAGCTGCAAGCAGTGGTAACACTCTCGTCTCTGAGTCAGAGTGTTGTGGTTTCAAGCCCCCAGTCTAAGGTGACCCTCCAATGCAGTGCTGGGGGGTGTGTTGCATTGACAAAGGTGCCGGCCTTCAGATGGGACGTTAAACCGAGATCCCGTCTGCCTGTTCAGGTGGACGTTAAAGATCCTGAAGTGCTATTCAAATAGAGAAGGGAGTTTCTCTCACTCTCTCTCTCTCTCTCGCGGTGTCCTGACCAATAATCCCCCAAATAAGAGTGGTCCCTCACTCCACGACTGTTTGTGGGGACGCTGCTGTGCACAACCGGCTGCTGCAATTCGCCCACAAAATACGCAGTCAATCCAGTTTACAGTATATCCTGTGAAGCGCTTTGAGCCGTCTCGATGATGTGATGAAGCATTATTATTATTTATTATTATTATCTGATCGAGACACAATCTAAAGTAAATGGCTTTTTAGTTGTTGTAGGTGGGCTGCATTGGAGTCTAATGGGATTTCAGAGGGTGACTACAAGTGCACAGCCAGAGGAGGAAAGTTGTCCTGTATGCATTTAGGAATCTTTCCCCCTCCTTGCCCTTGTGCTGTTGTTTTGCCAGTCTATGTTGGGATAATTAAAGTCCCCCATTATCACAACTCTATTGGCCTTGCATCTGTCTGAGATCTGCTTGCAGATCTGCTCATCTATTTCCTTCCCACTATTTGGTGGTCTATAGTATACCCCGACCAGCGTAACAGCTCCTTTTTTGTTCCTTAACTCTAACCAGATAGATTCCGTTTGGGGCCTCCAGCACCTCGACCCTTTCCACGGCTATAACCGTATCCTTGATTAACAATGCCACACCCCCATCTTTTTTTCCTTCCCTATCCCTCCTGAATACATTGTCGCCAGAAATATTCAGCTCCCATTCCTGTCCCTGTTTGAGCCAAGTCTCTGTTACTGCTACTACATCGTATCCCTGTGACCACTTGAGCTGCAGCTCACCAGTCTTGTTTGCTAAACTCTGTGCATTTAGGCACATGCACTCCAAGACCGACTTGACCTGTTCTGCCCGTCCACCCTGCTTTTTTTCCCCCATTTTCTAGCTCTTCGTTTTTTGCATTCCCTTCCCCCTCAAAACTAGTTTAAGCCCTCCCCAACAGCATTAGATAGCCTGTGTGTAAGGACATTCGCCCCAGCTCTGTTTAGGTGCAACCCATCCATATGATACAGGTCCCACCTGCCCCAGAACTGGTCCCAATGATCCAGAAACCTGAAGCCCTCTTTTCTGGACCATTTCTCCAGCCAAGCATTCATATGCTTTATCCTGTCATTATGGCACTTATTTTCCCGAGGCACAGGGAGCAATCCAGAGATCACCAACTTGGATGTTCGATTCTTTAGTATGTTCCCCAGCATTTGATATTGACCCTGTAGAGTCTCAGTCCTTTTTTTTTATAATATCATGGATCCCCACCTGACCACCACTTCTGGATGTTCTCCTTTCCCCTGAAGAATTTTATCTGTGATGTCTAAGACTGTTGCACCAGGGAGGCAACATACCATCCTTGACTACTGTCTTCTGTTACAGAAACGGTCTATACCTCTCACTGTTGTATCCCCTATGACAACAGCATTGCTCCTGTTACCTATGTCCCCCTGTTCCACCAATCGGTTTATACTGTCCTCCCTGGAGATATCCACACTCTCAGTGTTCAGTACAGAGTACTGGTTTGAGAGTGCTACACTATTGGGGGCATCCTACCCAGCCCGTCCCCTCTTCCTACCATGCCGGACAGGCACCCAGTCATTTTCCCTCTGAACCCTCGGTGTGTGGGGTGGGGTGACCACCTCTTGAGGTGTCTGGTCCATCAAATACTCACATCCGTTGATCAAGTTTGAAGCCCAAGGCTCCATCACCCCTCTCTCAGGGGTCCCATTATCTGCAGGACTGATGAAACCATCCTGTCCCTGAGCATTAACCAGATGCAAACATCTCCCGAGCCTCAGGGGAGTGATGGTTTCCTCCAACATACTGTCCAGGAACGTCTCACTGTCCCCGATGGAGCGCAGTGTCTGCACCTCGGCTTCCAGCTCAGCTCCTCTCAGCCGGAGCTTCCTGAGTTGCAGACACTTGCTGCAGATGAAGTTGCCCGGCTCAGGGCCCTCCATGATCTCCCACATGTCACAGTCCTCGCAGTTCACTTGCCATCATCTTCTCATACAATGTTTTTTATCTATTTTTATTTTTTTTGTTTGTTTTAATTTGCGGTCAGTGTTGTAGTTTCTGACAGTTTCTTGATGTTTGTTCTGGTTCTGCTGTTGAAACAATGACGTCACACCAACCGTCGTTCCTACAGTTCTGACAGCTTATCTCCGCCGCTCCTTTTATGCTGATCGCTAGGCCCAGACTCCACCTGCGCTCTGTCCTGATGGCTCGCCCATTGTACAAAATATACGGAAGAATTACTAATGATTGATTAATTGGCTGTAGCTTCCCTAACCTCGTTGATTCATATTAATAAATATCAATTGATTGAAGAATTTGTGTGGGTTTATACTTCACCTCAGGGTCAGGAATTTGAGTAACACAGGATCCCACTCACTGGGTCCCAATCACTGTGTCCCACTCACTGGGTCCCACTCACTGGGTCTCACTCACTGGGTCTCACTCACTGGGTCTCACTCACTGGGTCCCACTCACTGGGTCTCACTCACTGGAGCCCAATCACTGGGTCCCACTCACTGGGTCCCACTCACTGGGTCTCACTCACTCGGTCTCACTCACTGGAGCCCAATCACTGGGTCCCAATCACTGGATCCCACTCACTGGGTCCCAATCACTGGATCCCACTCACTGGGTCCCACTCACTGGGTCCCACTCACTGGGTCCCAATCACTGGATCCCACTCACTGGGTCCCAATCACTGGGTCCCACTCACTGGGTCCCAATCACTGGGTCTCACTTACTGGGTCCCACTCACTGGGTCGCAATCACTGGGTCTCACTCACTGGATCCCACTCACTGGGTTGCAATCACTGGAGCCCAATCACTGGGTCTCACTCACTGGAGCCCAATCACTGGGTCCCACTCACTGGGTCTCACTCACTGGAGCCCAATCACTGGGTCTCACTCACTGGAGCCCATTCACCGGGTCTCACTAACTGGAGCCCAATCACCGGGTCTCACTAACTGGAGCCCAATCACCGGGTCCTGCACAAAATCTCCCCACAATGGCAGTGGTCGCGGTGATGGTGCAGTGTGAGTTAGTCTTGGTTTAAGCACGTTCTCTCTCTGGTATTTTAATGAGTCTCAATCCATTTAGATCCTAGTTCTGGGCCCAGGAAGAGGGGATACATTTGGGTGCAGCCCCTCACCAACTTGCCCCCCCACCCTCCCCCAGGCCCTCACTACCTACCCCATCCACCCAGGCCCTCACCACCTGCCCCACCCCCCACCAGGCCCTCACCACCTACCCCACCCCCCACCAGGCCCTCACCACCTACCCCATCCCCCCAGGCCCTCACCCCATCACCCTCTGCCACACCCCAAAGCCCCCACCCCAGGCCCTCACCACCTGCCCTCCCCCCAGCCAGGTCCTTAAAGGTAGATACAGTCTCAACATCAACGTAGCTCAGAGCAGAGAAACAAACAGGAGTATCTTGGCGGGGGTGGAGGGTATATATCTATTGATGCATGTGCGTGTATTTATGTGTGTATGTTTATGTATATTTATTCGCTCACACACACCCACACTCTCACACACACACTCTCACTCACACACCCACACACATACACTCTCACCCTCACATACACTCACACACACTCACTCACCCACAGACACTCACACTCACTCATACACACACGCTCTCTCACTGACTCACACACACCCACAGCGCAGGAAGAAAGTCAATAAAAGTCCGTCACACACCAGGGCCCAGGGTGAAGGAGTGATGTGAGAGCCAGCGCCCGGGGGGTGGGGGGGGGGGGGGGCACAGGTCAGGAGGTGCCAAGAGTGTAAAGCTGTCCGGGACACTTTGTTCCTCAGCCACTTCATTAGATGGTTCTGCTTCCAGCTCAAACTTCATTAAAAGTGGCCTGGAGACCACAGCAGCATTCCTAGCCCGCTCTGAGCGGCTGTGTGTGTGTGTGTGTGTGTGTCTACATGTGTGTTTATAATTGTCTGTGTGTGATTGCGTCTGTGTGTATACATGTATGTGCGTGTGTGTTTATATTTGTCTGTGCATGTGTGTGCGTATATATATATATGTTTGTGTCTCTGTGTATGTGTATAAGTGTGTCTGCACATGTATATGTGTGCCTCTGTGTGTGTCTGTGTATAGTTCAGTATGTGTGTGTGTGTGTGTGTGTACGTACGTGTGTGTCTCCCTGTGTCTGTGTATACGTGCGCCTGTGTGTCCCGCTAAATCACGTGTGCGGGATGTGGGATTGTACACGTTAATAATCCCTGCCCGGCTGACACACACACACATAGAGGACGTGACATTGAGCTGGACACGGAGGAACGGGGGGTCTCGGGGGACAGACTGTGCCAAGCGACGGTGAAATCACCACCCCCACCCGAGGTGCAGTGAATACCCCCAGCACTGAGCACGGCAGCCTTTGGGCAGCACAACATGGCAGTGGGAGGCTGAGGGTCTGCCAGAGGCTGTGACCTGG